GGGTTTTGATTATTATGCTAACCACATAAGTCAGTGGTTCTATCTTTTCGGTTCTCTCTGCAGCTCTGTAGTCTCAAACGCTGGGGAAGCACAGAGACCGCATTGGTACTGACAGGGTGAATCCAGGGGAGGTGGAATAATGGCAGAGCAGAGGGCACGCTAGCACGGAGGAGGGGGGTGAAGGAGGAGGGGATGAAGGGATGACGTTTGTCTCCATCTTTCCCCCTGAGTCCATGCTGTCAGCTATGGCATTGGTATTCCTCCCTTTCTCTCTCCATCCCTCTCTCCTCTGGTTGGTATGAAAGCAGCCATGGTCAGCAGGATATATGTGACAGCCAGGGGACGGTGGCCAGAGCGATAAGGGATTCACCACCTCACAGTGCCCTGCTGTCCTTCCTGCTGCTTCCCCTGCGTTTGATGCCCGCTCTGTACTCAGTGTGTGGGGGGTGAGGGCCTGTGAGGGCTGGGCTAGGCTGTGGTACTCTAGGTGGCTGCTGTGGTGATTTAATCTGGGTTTCGCCTCTCTCTCGTTCTCTCTGCTTCCTTTTACTCTTCCTCGTAGCCGCGGACGACGGAATTCCCACGCCAGACACCAGGTAGAGTGGAGACACTGGAGTCTAGAGGGATCGATCCCTACTGCTGCCTGTCTATACTGACTTCCTGTCTGTCTGTCTCTTTTTCTGCCCCTAACCCCACTGCCACTTCCTGTCTGTGATAACCTTTGACCTGTATGTGTTGATGTGCAATACTAACTCCCTGGAGGTTTGCTCTGAAAGACTGAACTGCCCACATCTATAGATGTCATTTCATTGATATCGTAATTCATATATCCCTGTGTCCATGGTTGCAGCTGGATACCGAAGTACAACTTGGCCCATACCCTATTAATAGCACATCTACCCCATACTTACAATTGGGCTTAGATTACATTGTACAATTATTAGAATACCCAACACTTATTTTAAACCTTTCAACATCTACATTGATAGTATATGTTGGGAGAAATCCAATACCTATCTGGCTTAGTCCTCACGTCACATGTGATTGTATTACATCAGCATGCAGTGTAGTGGCCCAGGCCCTGTCCATCTCAGCTACAGAGCATTGGTACCTGGTGAATCCTGGCATGATTGCTATGTTTGGGGCCATGTGTATATTCCCTGTGGTGAAAACAGACCCAAAACATTATTTGAAGCATGTAAGAGTTCTCTGCCCCAGCAGAGAGATGGCAGCTGGTACTTCTGCAAAGTGTAGGCTACTCTGGAGTGCAGATCTTGTACCCTTCTACTGAGGGAGGGAGGGAGGAATGTGTTTTCTGTAAAGCAGGGTTCCCTAATAGGCAGCCCGCGGGCCAAATTCAGCCTGCAAGTGCATTTACAGTGCATTCGGAAAGTACTCAGACCCCTTGACTTTGTCGACATTTTGTTAGGTTACAGCCTTATTCTAAAATTGTTTAAATTGTTTTTTCCCTCATCAATCTACACACAATACCCCAGAATGCTAATTTATAAAAAAATAAAAAATAACATTTACATAAGTATTCAAACCTTTTACTCAGTACTTTGTTGAAGCACCTTTGGCAGCAATTACAGCCTTGTCTTCTTTGGTACGACGCTACAAGCTTGGCACCTGTATTTGGAGAGTTTCTCCCATTCTTCTCTGCAGATCCTCTCAAGCTCTGTCAGGTTGGAATGGGAGCGTTGCTGCACAGCTATTTTCAGGTCTCTCCAGAGATGTTCGATCAGGTTCATGTCCGGGTTCTGGCTGGGCCACTCAAGGACATTCAGAGACTTGTCCCAAAGCCACTACTGCATTGTATTGGCTGTGTGCTTAGGGTCGTTGTCCTGTTGGAAGGTGACTCTTCGCCCCAGTCTGAGGTCCTGAGCGCTCTGGAGCAGGTTTTCATCAAGGATCTCTCTGTACTTTGCTCCGTTCATCTTTGCCTCAATCCTAACTAGTCTCCCAGTCCCTGCCACTGAAAAATGTCCCCACAGCATGATGCTGCCACCACCATGCTTCACCGTAGGGATGGTGCCAGGTTTCCTCCAGACGTGATGCTTGGCATTCAGGCCAAAGAGTTCAATCTTGGTTTCATCAGACCAGAGAATCTTGTTTCTCATGGTCTGAGAGTCTTTAGGTGCCTTTTGGTAAACTCCAAGCGGGCTGTCATGTGCCTTTCACTGAGGAGTGGCATCAGTCTGGCCACTCTACCATAAAGGCCTGATTGGTGGAGTGCTGCAGAGATGGTTGTCCTTCTGGAAGGTTCTCCCATCTCCACAGAGGAACTCTAGAATTCTGTCAGAGTGACCATCGGGTTCTTGGTCACCTCCCTGACCAAGGCCCTTCTCCCCCGATTGCTCAGTTTGGCCGGGTGACCAGCTCTAGGAAGAGTCTCGGTGGTTCCAAACTTCTTCCATTTAAGAATGATGGAGGCTACTGTGTTCTTGGTGACCTCCAATGCTGCAGAAATGTTTTGCTACCCTTCCCCAGATCTGTGCCTCGACAGAATCCTGTCTCGGAGCTCTACGGACAATTCCTTCGACCTCATCGCTTGGTTTTTGCTCTGACATGGACTGTCAACTGTGTGACCTTATATAGACAGGTGTGTGCCTTTCCAAATCATGTCCAATCAATTGAATTTACCACAGGTGGACTTCAATCAAGTTGTAGAAACATCTCAAGGATGATCAATGGAAACAGGATGCACCTGAGCTCAATTTCGAGTCCCATAGCAAAGGGTCTGAATACTTATGTAAATAAGGTATTTCTGTTTTCAAGGTTTTATAAACTTCCAAAAATATCTAAAAACCTGTTTTCACTTTGTCATTATGGGGTATTGTGTGTAGATTGCTGAGGAAATTGTTTTATTTAATCCATTTTAGAATAAGGCTGTAACGTAACAAAATGTGGAAAAAGTCAAGGGGTCTGAATACTTTCCTGAAGGCACTGTATTTGGCCCCCAAAGTTTTCAGAGCTAAAAAAATCTATAAATAAATCTCTCTCTCTCTGTATGTATGTATATGTATATATGTATATATATATATATATATATATATATATATATATATATATATATATACCATATATATATATATATATACACATATATATATATATATATATATACACATATATATATATACACATATATATATATATATATATATACACATATATATATATATATATACACATATATATATACATACATACTGAACAAAAATATAAACGCAACATGTAAAGTGTTGGTCCCATGATTTCATGAGCTGAAATAAAAGATCCCATATATTTTCCATACACACAAAAAGCTTTATTTACATCCCTGTTAGTGAGCATTTCTCCTTTGCCAAGATAATCCATCCACCTGACAGGTGTGGCATATCAAGAAGCTGATTAAACAGCATGATCATTACACAGGTGCAACTTGTGCTGGGGACAATAAAAGGCCACTCTAAAATTAGCAGTTTTGTCACACAACACAACAACACAATGCCACAGATGTCTCAAGTTTTGAGAGAGTCTCAGTGTTCATTTCTCTTCCATAAACCGCCTCCAATGTCGTTTTAGAGAATTTGGCAGTACGTCCAACTGGCCTCACAACCGCAGACCACGTGTAACCACGCCAGCCCAGGACCTCCACATCCGGCTTCTTCACCTGCGGGATTGTCTGAGGGGGTGCTGAGGAGAAAAACTCATTCTGATTGGCTGGGCCAAATTTTCTAAATGACATTGTTAGAAAAATGAACATGAAATGTAAATGTAAATGTAAATTCTCTGGCAACAGCTCTGGTGGACATTCCTGCAGTCAGCATGCCAATTGCACACTCCCTTCAAAACTAGAGACATCTTTGGTGTTGTGTGACAAAACTGCACATTTGCCTTTTATTGTCCCCAGCACAAAGTGTACCTGTATAATGATCATGCTGTTTAATAAGCTTGTTGATATGCCACATCTGTCAAGTAGATGGATTATCTTGGCAAAGGAGAAATGCTCACTAACAGGGATGTTAACATATTTGTGCTCAAAATTTGAGAGATTTTTTTTGTACGTATGGAACATTTCTGAGGTCTTTTTATTTCAGCTCATGAAACATGGGACTAACACTTTACATGTGGCGTTTATATTTTTGTAAAATCACCAGGAAATCAGCTCAAAGTTATTTTAATTTAGAAAATCTGTTTCCAAGTATTCCCACGCATAAATAAAGAGGCATCCCAATGTAATCAAGGTTTGAAATGATTCTATTTTTGTCTAACACTAAATCTGTTTGGGATTCTTGCGGTCAATTTGCAGTGTACAAATTATTTATAACTATGTTCCAGCCCCTCGACCATCCACTCAAGGAAAAATCTGCCCACAGATGAATGTAATTGGGGACCCCTGCTGTAAAGGGACAGTTCCTCCTCCTCTTTCCCTCTCTCACTCTCCACTCCATATGGAGTGTGTGGTAGTAGCGCCATTACATAACCTCACATCACTTATCAGTCTCAAGTGTTGACGTAACACATGAACACGATAGAGGCCATTTTTTGTACCACTGTAGCCCCATAGATTTGTATTGGGTAAGAGGAACACTTGCACAGGCCTGTCATTGTGGTCAATGAGTCACTACTGTAGATTTAGTGATCTATTAAAATCATTGAGACGTTGTGAGGGACTAGGCCTTGGCGTGAATGGTTCTGCAGCTGCAAAACTCCAGTCTGTCTCTGCAAACGTTCAATATGATCATTGGTAACACTACTGTAGTCCCTCTTATGCCTATGACAGATGGTATAATGTCTTATATAGTTGTTATAAAGGCTTTAAGTGCATACATAAGGGCGGCAACAGTAAAGTGTTACCGATCATTATCAGTCTAATAATGGTGGGCATGCATGTAGATAAAAATTTGCATATAAAGACTATAATATATTGCGTTTGAGGTCAGAATGAACCATCTATTACTAATGAGATGCCATTCCTATTGTTGTGAAGGACTCTGGACAAGCTATTCCCCGTGTGGTCGAGAGCTGTATTCGATTCATCAATCTTTATGGTGAGTTGGTCATCCATTAATTACTAATATTTTACGATGCAACAGCTATGGTTTTCTAAAATTTTCACACCCCTTGCAGGCCAACCAAGTGTAACAGTCAAAAATTACAGTTTAGTGCAGATTTTTCTCATCTTTTGGAAAGCTCCTAAATTGTGTGCAACCCGTCCAAGTTTGGTCAAAGGTAACATTCCGACAATTTCAGAGTGTTCATTGTTTTGGTGTGTCCATTCTTCCCGTGTCAGTGTTAGAATCGGTTCCATTTTAGTCACGGTCATGGGAAAGTCTATGCAGATGCCATCTTGTTTACCGCAACCATCCATACAGCCAATGGGATGCAACCATAGAGATGTATAGAGATCGCAACATTGTATCTGTCCCTTAATTGGCATCTGTGAGCACACGGGAAGCGCCATCGAGGCTGTCCATTTCCTTCTACTACTTGAGTAAACAAACTGAAAGGGTGCACACTGCCACCTGTAGTGTGTTGTTTGAACAAGTATAAGGCCAAGGTTGGCGATTTACTGCCACCTGCAGTTATAGGATGTTTGCTCACGAGTATAATTCATTGGCTGATCCCTCCTGATGACCTGGATGGAATTATGTGATCCTTCCTTAACCCATAGGAAGTCCCACCCAGTCGACTACTTAAAAATGATGAAAGTCCTCAATGGTGCTGCCCATTCCAAAACATGTTTTTGGGCACTAGAGTCCCATATACATCTCTATGGATGCAAGACACACACACACACACACACACACACACACACCCCACCTCTTCACACACGCTGTCAAATAGGTTAGTTAGACTATTACTGTGAGCCGCATTAATAAAACTCCAACATAACATGTCGGCTTAATCATTTGAAGGAGTGACGCTAATGACCTCTCTCCGTGTTTTGCGGACACCGGCGACGTCTTACAGTACTGGGGCGCCCGTCTTGTGACGGGGCAGACGTCGGCTAATTAAGCTCTGCGCCAACCTCTGACCTCTCTCCTTATTAAATCCCGGCTGGAGGACGCTTTAGTAAGACTTGATTGCGGTCTGTCTCGCTCATTAATTTTCTTTAATTGGAAAAGTGAAGGGCTGGAGGAACGGGATGTGGCTTTTAGTTGGGATTTAAACTGGATTTTCTTTTTGCACTGGTGGTCTTTTGTAATGGCTGCTTGTCACAATGGACCAAATGTGTGTCTCACCCTTTCTCTCTTTCTCTCTTGGGTCTCTACCTCTCTTTCTCTCTATGTTCTTTGTTCTCTTCAGGCCTTCAACATCAAGGGATATTCCGTGTGTCCGGGTCTCAGATGGAAATCAATGACATTAAGAACTCATTCGAGAGAGGTAGGATGTTATTAACATGTTAGTCAATTGACACTTCACACATTTGATATGAGTAGATATGAGTGGACTTCAATTGATTATATAATACTTTTGAGCTACAGAATTTGACTTGGTCTAGTGGACACTTCATTTACTATTTTAAAATAATTTGTTTACACTGGTAGGAACTTATCAAATCAAATGTATTCATAAAGCCCTTTTTTCATCAGCAGAAGTCCTCATCTGGCTGTGCTGGGTAGAGATTATAAGAGTACATGGCCATTATAAAGGCCAGATTGTTCTTCAAGATGTTCAAATGTTCACCAGAAGGGTCAAATAATAATCACAGTGGTTGTAGAGAGTGCAACAGGTCAGCACCTCAGGAGTAAATGTTAGTTGACTTTTCATAGCCAAGCATTCAGAGGTCGAGACAGCCGGTGCGGTGGTGGTGGGGGGGGGGGGTCGAAAACAGCAGGTCCGGGACAAGGTAGCACGTCCGGTGAACAGGTCAGGGTTCCATAGCCACAGGCAAAACAGCATAAACTGGATCAGCAGCATGACCAGGTGGACTGGGGACAGCCAGGAGTCATCAGGTCAGGTAGTCCTGAGGCATGGTCCTAGGGCTCAGGTCCTCAGAGAGAGAGAGAGGAAATATACTTAAATTCACACAGGACACTAGATAAAACACCAGATAGGACAGATTGACCCTATACCCCCGCACATAGACTATTGCAGCACAGATAATGGAGGCGGAGACAGGGGGGGTCGGGGGACACTGGTCAAATGGGTGTTGCCAGTGTGTAAGTTTGTAACTTCCTTCTAGTGAGGGGAAATTACATCATTGCCTGCATACAACATATCCTCACATACACTTATCGGTCTCCCAGGTAATGACCCGTTGACAGATGACGAGAACAACCACGACATCAACTCAGTGGCCGGTGTTCTCAAACTCTACTTCCGGGGCCTGGAAAAATCCCTCTTGCCCAAGGAAAGATTTAACGACCTCCTGTCCTGCGTCAGTAAGTAGCTGTTGTTACTCGTCCTATATGCATTCTGTCTCCACACAGCTGGGTGTACTACAGTATAATCTGAGACACACACACACAGACAGACACATGCAAGCACACAAACACACACTCACATTATGGGCATACATATGATGTTCAACTTAGTGTGTTGATATTCAATGGGAGTGCATTATGACTCATTGTGTGGCAGTCAGACCAGGGGCATTCTATGAGCCATGTAGGTCCTAAGTGGCCTTTTTCCTGGCATTGATGGGACGTCTAGCAGATAAAATGGAGTCATTAGTTAGACAGTATTCACATGCTCTTTGCAGGTCAACTCTTAATGTCCCACTATGGGGAAATCATCACAAACAGCCTTGGGACTAGACATTATAGTTACTTGCTCATCTGGGCTGTTTTCATCAATAGCATGTTGCTGTGTTACCCCGTCTTTGTGCCAGGGGGTGAATAGTACCACGTTGTGTTGTTGTCCGTCTTCTCCACTGACTAGAGCATTCATGGGATGAGCTGTGACATAAATCTCACCGTACAGCCTGGTGTTGGGTAATGAAATGTATATTTATAAAGGCAGTAGTGTTTACATCAAACCATACAGTGGCGACTTCACTACTCTGGCACAGACGGCCACATTGTTCTCTTACTGTAAAGGCAGTGTGACACGGTCTTACATAGTTCAGTCGGCTCTTTGTGGGATTCGCTCTGACCTTATAAGAAGTCATGTGGGGGCTTTGAGGGTGGACTAGTGGAGTAGCCACTGTTGTTCAAGAACAATAGGCTGGCTAGTGTGAGTCACATGTACTGTACTCAACGTGTGCTGTAATGCCTTTTGGGGGGGGGGGGGGTAGTGTGTTTGTGTGCACTGGTTTGTGGCCTAAGTGTGTGTGTGCGCACGTGAGCGAGATATGGTATCGGCTTACACTTGTGAGTGATGGGGATTCCCTGTTGCTTACTCTAAGGCCTGACATACCAGCGCTTGGAGAGTGGGCATCATGCCCAGCCAGCAGTATCATATTAATAAAACCCTCACACAAGCCAGATAAGCAGCACAGTGTCACCTTTACTTTAAATGGCTGGCTCACTGGGCACTGAGAAAACACGTGTCTGTACATGAGGTTGTCATGTTTTTATTTTATTGTCTCTATTGTATAGTTGCCTGCCTTGTCTGTCTACCGTCTTCCACAGCGAGAAGGGTGTGGTGATCGTGAGAAGAGAGTGGAGGGGGGGGGCTGTTCTTTAAATAGCATCCTTCTGAAGTGTTGAGGAACCATGCAGAAGAGAAACCTAGTTAGGTACTCATGGAAGATGAATAACATCACAAGTATTCCCAAAAGCCCATCTCCCAAATGTCCCAAACTCGTTTCACGGTGACAGCGCTATTTCAGGAAGCCATCGTCGTCACCAATGAAAAACATTAAAGGGGCTGCTTTGGAACAGAGGAGATGGGCGGATTAAAGCGAAATTGATCAGCGCTCAGCGCTTTGTATGATCGTTCTGACACAAGACTAAAGTTTTGTGAGATGCTTTGTCTCTGATCATTATTGCAGTAGTGACAAAAATGGATCAATACGTCAGAGTTTATTTTTCTCTCGTTGACAAGAGAGAATCGAGAGGGAGATGATGACAGAGAGAGAGAGAGATAGAGAAACAGTGTGAGGTCTGTACATTAGTCCTTTAGCAGACACTCTTGCCCAAGTACTTACAATCACTGCTTTTTAACTAAAGAAGGCAACACATGCACGTGCACGCACGCACGCTCCCTTTCCCATCTGTTAGAAGAGTGTCACTTTCTTGTGATATTTAGGGCAGCAACAGAACTGGAAACAGCAGAATTTATTCCAGTGTGATTTATAACTGTGCAATTGTCCTCAATGATATTTATAACTGTTTTCCCCAGTAAGTTTAAGAACAGTGCAAGTATCCTTAGTGGTATTTGGAGCAGCTCTGTGCTCAGAGACAACTTCATCTATGGTTAGTAAGTCTTTGTGAGGGCCCATGAGATTGTAGCCTGATTAAACCAGACTGAATGTTGCGCTCGCCATTGAGCGTAGCATTCAGTCTGGTTCAACCAGGCTATAGAACATGGGTCGGCAACAGGCGGCCCACGCGCTGAAACCGACCCGCAAGTGATTTTATTTGTATATGGGGGTATTTTAGTTTTTAGTCAAAAAAGACCAGAAATAGTTTTGAAAATCTGTTCCCAAGTATTCCCACAAATAAAAAAAGAGACTTATGTGATCATGTCTCAATGTAATCAAGGTATGAAATTATTGTTATTTTCAAATACAACTTATTTTTGGGCATAGTTGCGGTCAAGTTGCAGTGCACAAATTATTATAATTATGTTCTGGCCCCCCAACCATCCGCTCCGACAAAAAGTTGCCAACCCCTGCTATAGAGAGTTGGGCCTTATCCTAATGGCCTCTGCCTTAATATGCTGCTTATAGCTGCAGGCACACTGGGTATCAATGAGTGAGTGGGAACATTCAGATGGATATCCGTCATTACATACGCAGCCCTGCAAAGTGGCATGTCAGGCACATTTTAGAGAAGTGCAGGGACGACGCACAGACAGAAATGGTCCCTGAATGTCACCGGATTCACTGTGACAGGAGGACGTTCTCTGGATGTGTTGGCTTAATGGCTGATACGTTTGTGCACCTCGGATACATTTAAATAGCTTTATGCATACTAATAAGAAATATACACTACCGTTCAAAAGTTTGGGGTCACTTAGAAATGTCCTTGTTTTGGAAAGAAAAGCAATTTTTTTGTCCATTTTAAAATGAAATAAAATTGATCCGAAATACAGTGTAAACATTGTTAATGTTGTAAATGGCTATTGTAGCAGGAAACGGCTGATTAAAAAAAGAAGGAATATCTACATAGGTGTACAGAGGCCCATTATCAGCAACCATCAGTCCTGTGTTCCAATGGCACGTTGTGTTTGCTAATCCAAGTTTATCATTTTAAAAGGCTAATTGATCATTAGAAAACCCTTTTGCAATTACGTTAGCACAGCTGAAAACTATTGTGCTGATTAAAGAAGCAATACAAACTGGCCTTCTTGAGACTAGTTGAGTATCTGGAGCATCAGCAATTGTGGGTTCGATTTACAGAATCAAAATGGCCAGAAACAAATAACTTTCTTCTGAAACTCGTCAGTCTATTCTTGTTCTGAGAAATGAAGGCTATTCCATGCGAGAAATTGCCAAGAAACTGAAGATCTCGTACAACGCTGTGTACTACTCCTTTCACAGAACAACGCAAACTGGCTCTAACCAGAATAGAAAGAGGAGTGGGAGGCCCCGGTGCACAACTGAGCAAGAGGACAAATACATTAGAGTGTCTAGTTTGAGAAACAGACACCTCACAGGTCCTCAACTGGCAACTTCATTAAATAGTACCCGCAAAACACCAGTCTCAACGTCAACAGTGAAGAGGCGACTCCAGGATGCTGACCTTCTAGGCAGAGTTGCAAAGAAAAAGCCATATCTCAGACTGGCCAATAAAAAGAAAAGATTAAGATGGGCAAAAGAACACAGACACTGGACAGAGGAAGATTGAAAAAAAGTGTTATGGACAGACAAATCGAAGTTTGAGGTGTTCGGATCACAAAGAAGAACATTTGTGAGACGCAGACCAAATGAAAAGATGCTGGAGGAGTGCTTGATGCCATCTGTTAAGCATGGTGGAGGCAATGTGATGGTATGGGGTGCTTTGGTGGTGGTAAAGTGGGAGATTTGTACAGGGTAAAAGGGATCTTGAAGAAGGAAGGCTATCACTCCATTTTGCAACGCCATGCCATACCCTGTGGACGGCGCTTGATTGGAGCAAATTTCCTCCTACAACAGGACAATGACCCAAAGCACAGCTCCAAACTATGCAAGAACTATTTAGGGAAGAAGCAGTCAGCTGGTATTCTGTCTATAATGGAGTGGCCAGCACAGTCACCGGATCTCAACCCTATTGAGCTGTTGTGGGAGCAGCTTGACTGTATGGTACGTAAGAAGTGCCCATCAAGCCAATCCAATTTGTGGGAGGTGCTTCAGGAAGCATGGGGTGAAATCTCTTCAGATTACCTCAACAAATTGACAACTAGAATCCAAAGGTCTGCAAGGCTGCAAATGGAGGATTCTTTGACAAAAGCAAAGTTTGAAGGACACAATTATTATTTCAATTAAAAATCATTATTTCCTATTGCTATATTTCCTATTCAAACTCATTTCATGTATGTTTTCATGGAAAACAAGGACATTTCTAAGTGACCCCAAACTTTTGAACGGTAGTGCAGATCAAGCTAAAAACTGTTCAACCTGAATCTAAATAATTGTAGTCTAAATGGCTCCGGTCTGTATTTCTAAGATTTATATGATGTGCAATAGTGAATGATTTAATACATTTTTCTCTCTCTCTCTCTCTCTCTCTCTCTCTCTCTCTCTCTCTCTCTCTCTCTCTCTCAGGAATAGAGAACCTGTATGAGAGGTCCCTGTACATCCGTAAGATCCTCCTGACCGCCGTGCCCAGGTCCGTCCTCATCGTGATGCGCTACCTCTTCGCCTTTCTCAACCAGTAAGTCCTCAACAACCGGTCCAGGGTCATATTCATTAAGCATCAAATGGAAGAAAATTGACTGAAAGGGCGATGCACTACCTGGACTTATCCAATAGGAAACTCCCATTTTCCTTTTCCATTGCGTGCCGTAATGAATAATATGACCCAGGCTTATTCACTTACTGTTCATTTTCTGATATACCATTAGTAAGTACAAAACACACATTGACTGGCCTACTGTACTACTGTATGGGGGACATGTGTAGTCAATCACCAAATAGCCCTAAACCTTTTAAGATCATTGTACAGTAGACTCCTGTTTGTTACTGAATGTAGAGATAGGAAGAGAAAATGATTAGCTAGCGTTAAAGTAAACATGTCCAGCAATAAGAACAAATGACTAGAGAGATGTATTCCTTAGTAATTTACTCTATCTGAAAGGCTGTCATTGTTTATTTACTGTTTAGGTGATACTGAGAGGAGCATAATGACACTGTTAGGTTATTAAAAGGTTTGAGAATTGATCACTACCCAGACAGTGAGAGGATAGGCAGTCTGTCTGGTGCCTTGGCTGAATGCAGCTGTACCACGCAGAACTAATTCCTGTTTGTACACAAACAAATTAAAATGCTTTGTTTGTGAAGGGCGAAGTTTCTCCACTATCTTGTTGAAGAGATTACGTTAACTTACTGTAAAGTCGATTGTTGCGCATAAACCCTTTATCTCTCTCTATTTCTCTTCCTCTCTCACTCCCCCCTCCCCCCCAGCCTGTCCCAGTACAGTGATGAGAACATGATGGACCCCTATAACCTGGCCATCTGCTTCGGCCCCACCCTCATGCCCACGCCCAACATCGAGGACCAGGTGTCGTGCCAGGCACACGTCAATGAGATCATCAAGACCATCATCATCCAACATGAGACCATCTTCCCCGACGCCAAGGAGCTGGACGGGCCCGTCTACGAGAAGTGCATGGCTGGGGGAGACTACTGGTGAGCTGAACATAGAAATGTAATTACTAGAACATAGACCTGAATTTAGAAATATAACTACTAGAATGGATCTGGATGAGCCCGTTTATGTGAAGTGCATAGCTGGCGGAGACTACTGGTGAGATCAGGGTTCCCACTCTTAGACACTTTAAGAATTCTATGACTTTTCCATGAAATGTGTTAAATTCCCTGGCTTTCCCTGTCTGAAATTAAAATGTCCCTGATATTCCAGAAGTTCCCTGACCTGTGGGACCCTGTGAGATGATTGAGTGAGCAGGGTCACCCTTTTATGGGGTCAGGGGTCATTCATTAGTGAAACTCGATACGGGTGACTTGCGATGATGTAATTTTGATGAGCTTCACAGATGTGCAAGGTGAGGTGTTGGCAGGGGAGCTCTTTACAAAGTCGTGGGTGTGTTTCTCATTCCCGTCCTGTGATTGTAGTCTAACTCAGGCTCGCAGCCAAATACCCCTTCATAAGGGACATAATGCTCCATGCTGCAGGTATGTATGCACGCAGTGTGGAGTACGTCCGAGGGCTAGGGCCGCAGCTGTCTCAATACGTCATTAGCGAGAGTTAATGCAGGTAATTAGGCTAAATGATGAGGTGTCTGTGGTGAGACAATATGACAGGGGAGAGCTAGAGGCGTCACTACAGATCCGGGTTCGATCCCGTGCTGTGTCGCAGCCGGCCTCGACCAGGAGACCCATGAGGCGGCGCACAATTGGCCCAGCGTCGTCCGGGTTAGGGGAGGGTTTGACCAGCTGGGATGTCCTTGTCCCATCGCGCTCTAGCGACTCCTTGTGGCGGCCAGGCGCATGCGCGCTGACTTGGGTCGCCAGCTGTACGGTGTTTCCTCCGACACATTGGTGCGTCTGGCTTCCGGGTTAAGGGAGCAGTGTGTCAAGAAGCAGTGCGGCTTGGCGGGGTCTTGTTTCAGAGGAAGCATGGCTCTTGACCTTCGCCTCTCCCAAGTCCGTACGGGAGTTGCAGCGATGGGACAAGAATGTAACTACCAATTGGATACCACGAAATTGGGGAGAAAAAGGGGTAAAAAGTACCTATAAGAAATGTAATAAATGAAGTATGTTAAAACAGAGCAGATTAAAGTTCCAAAGCCAACTAGCTCCACAGTTGTGAGGAGCTGAGCAGGGAGAGGTTATATCATCCTCCCCTGAAGAGCACTAGCCTGATCGAGGTGAGACGGACCTAAGCGATCACGATTAGTAAGGAAACCTAAAGTGCAGCACATAGAAGTACAGCCTATCACTTGCTTCCTCTGAAGAGCACATCTCTCTCTCTCTCTCTCTCTCTGTTCCTTGGCGGAGTGTTAGCACTGCCAGAGCTAATTACCCGTCACAGCCGTCAGGACGCCGTCCCTGACCGAGGCACATCAAACCTGTGGAGATTTGTTGTCGTTGCTTCCTCCCTCCTCCTCCCCCAGGGGGTAATACGAGGCAGGTGGCAGTGGTGTGTTACCCAGGGAAACGGCGCTAAGTGCCAGTCGGGGGTAATCTTTGGAAGATGTAAGGGCCGTTAGTGCCAGGTTAATGCCGTGGGGTGCCAGGGACAAAGTCTGAAAACAGATCATTTGAACCCAGGCTGTGTCATGAGAATACTGATGATGCCCTCGATTTGTGCGTCTCAATAGTCGGTGGCTGCCTCTCAATGTGGCTGTAGATGCATCTCAGTCGTCTAAAGTCCTCTGCTTGTCTGCTCACCTTCATCTACACTAAACGTCTTTGATGGATGAGATCTATATGAGTGCATACCACTTACCAGGTATTTGCTTTCAACAATCCAGTCCAGTGTCACATCATTGCCGAAGAAGGAAAGGAGATGAAGAGGGGAATCTACTTCAGACTATTAAGATACACCCATAGGCTGAATGAAATTGAGTAGCTTGTACGGTTGTATCCATGGTAGCCGAACCCTGACCCTAACCTATAAACCCTGAGCTCTGACCCTGTCTCCCCCCCCCCCCCCCCCCCACAGTGAGAGTCCCTACAGCGAGCATGGGGCAATTGAGGAGGTGGACAACGAGGGAGGGACGGAGACACATACCAGCGAGGACGGTGAGTACCCTTCAAGCAGGCACCCTCGTAAGCCTATGATGTAATGACTTGCCAGATGTGAACATCATGGGAAAAGCATACACTTTCTTTCTTAAACCCAGAGCACACTGGTCTGTGTGGATAATCCTGCCTTTCAGCCTGCTAAATGGAAGGACCTTAAAGGGGCAGGGAATTGGGCTCCAGAGATGTGGGTATCTATTGATATTCTAATTCCTTCTGCATCACCATCTCCCCATGGGACCTGGGCCACATGCTGGGAGCAGCACCCCCCTCCCAGGCCCCTGGTGGGCTCTTCTGCACCCCTCTGGACCCCCTCGGGTGACGTGATGAGGGCTCTTTAAGTGTTTTGGTCAACCCATAGAATTTGAAAGACTCCTAATTCTATGGGTTGGCCACTCAAGTATAATCAGCATATAACTACTTTTTGGAGAGTTCTCAATCGGTTACCTCTTGAACGCCAAACTGGAATGAGGAGTGATGCGGATTAATGATTGTGTCTATGACCGAGTTGGTCAAGACAACTTCAGGCTGTCCAAACTAGCATAATACCATCTGTATTGTCCCTACTTTTAAACTACTTCACCATGTGTTCATATGATAGGCCTCACTCACACCAGCCTCAGAGACACAGGCAGGCCAGGGAACTATATACTTTTCAGACTAAGTAAAAAAATAAAATAAAAGAGATGTCTGCTTGCTCTTCCATCTGGTCTGTTGGACCCGGTCTCAGACGAGGGGGGTGCGATGAAGTTGGTCTGTTCCAAATCAAACACACTGACTCACCCCCTCAGCGGACTACAAAAAGTTCAGGTGGCCTGAGTAGAAGTCCAGAAACCGGTCGTTTCTCAGGGAAACATTACAAAAACCTCACACAACTTGGCAAATTACGTTCCGAAAATATTTTGGGGAGGGCAGACAGTGTGGGCGGCAACCCTTTCAGTCACCCCCACTTAAGTCCACAAGTGACATTCTCCAAACTTCCAAACCTGTTTCCATGGTAATAATAAACACACACATTAGTAGCCTAATCATAATAATAGCCGAAAATCCCATCCCCCCAATCATTCATCATCAGGTTTTAAACATAATTTATACAAGAGTTCGAGGATGGAAATGTTGGCCATAGTTCTCATTACATGGCTTTAGTTAGCACACCCTCTTTCATTCGATCTAATGAAGACACCTGGGTCGTGTTCATTCGGCATCCAATGGAAGAAAACGGACTGAAACGGGAGGGACTCCTTGGACATGTCCAATAAGAAACACTATTTTTTGCTGCAAAACTTTTAAAACAATTTTTCAGTTAAATGCCCTAATGAATGAAACCTGATAGTACAAACTAGAGCACGTAGGCTACATCATAGTTTTCCATTCTAAAATGGTGACAACACACATGGTAGCTATCCATTGCAAAGCAATTCATTAAGGAAAAGCAAACCTTATAAACCACATGAACCTAACTCTGGCTACCATGGTTTTTGTCCAACTTATTGTCACCCTGTCAGTTTGAACGGAAGGCCTTTCTGACCCCTATTTTATTGTCATTCCCGGTGGGCTCTTCAAGCCCATTCACAGGCCTATTGTCCTCAGTTAGTGGTTGAAAATACTTTAGGATCTTACTCAGATTTACAGCCTTATTGTAAATGGTTTGTTTCTTTAGTGTTGTTACCATATGAAAATGTACAGTTCTACTGTATGACGTCAATGTTAGATCCTAGTTGTCTTCAGGGATTCAATGTTTTTGTAAGCTCTTGTTGAATCAGCCACCTCTGTAACTAGCCAATAAGGGAGAAGGGGGTAGCTACGGCCCAATATGGCGACCAGAGTGTGGGTGTGTCTAAAGGAAAGTAGTAGATGTGTGGAAAGGAGTGGGTGTGTTGAAAGGAGTGGGTGTGTTGAAAGGAGTGGGTGTGTTGAAAGGAGTGGGTGTGTTGAAAGGAGTGGGTGTGTTGAAAGCACTCTGCTATAGGTTAGACGGTTTTGATTGAGCTGTGTTTTTTATTTTTTATTATACCACGGAACTACTGTACCGCAACAGTTTGGACATCTGTTTTGAAGCCAAAGGATAAGTCTGAGTCATATTTCACTGTTAGTTTTACACAAGTAATTGTACAATTTCAGTTATAAAATTGACAATTGTTTATCTTTGATTAAAAGTACTGATGATGGGTGCACTGTTGCATCATGCGTTGTGTGCGTGTGCTTACTGTCACTGACCCTGATATTGGCTACTAGGTAGCTACTTCCCACGCAGTTGCTGGACATTAGTGCTTGGCAAGCGGGAGCGAAGGACACTGTCATGCCCTCCCAATTGAGTAGTAGACTGTACTTCAGAAAGTGTTGAGACACCTTGACTTTTTCCACATTTTGTTACTTTACAGCCTTATTCAAAAAAAAAATTTTATATCCTCAGCAATCTACACACAATACCCCATCATGGTTTTTAGACATTTTTGCAAATGTATTAAAAATAAAAACAGAAATACCTTATTTACATAAGTATTCAGACACTTTGCTGTGAGACTTGAAATTGAGCTCAGGTGCATCCTGTTTCCATTGATCATCCTTGAGATGTCTCTACAACTTGACAGGATTGTGTTGAGGCACAGATCTGGGGAAGGGTACCAAAAAGTGTCTGCAGCATTGAAGGTCCCCAAGAACAGTTGCCTCCATCATTCTTAAATGGGAGAAGTTTGGAACCACCGAGAATCTTCCTAGAGCTGGCCGCCCGGCCAAACTGAGCAATCAGGGGAGAAGGGCCTTGGTCAGGGAGGTGACCAAGAACCCGATGGTCACTCTGACAGAACTCTAGAGTTCCTCTGTGGAGATGGGAGAACCTTCCAGAAGGACAACCATCTCTGCAGCACTCCACCAATCAGGCCTTTATGGTAGAGTGGCCAGACGGAAGCCACTCCTCAGTGAAAGGCACATTACAGCCCGCTTGGAGTTTGGCAAAAGGCACCTAAAGACTCTCAGACCATGAAACAAGATTCTCTGGTCTGATGAAACCAAGATTGAACTCTTTGGCCTGAATACCAAGCGTCACGTCTGGAGGAAACCTGGCACCATCCCTACAGTGAAGCATGATGGTGGCAGCATCATGCTGTGGGGGTGTTTTTCAACGGCAGGGACTGGGAGACTAGTCAGGATCAAGGCAAAGATGAACGGAGCAAAGTACAGAGAGATCCGTGATGAAAACCTGCTCCAGAGCTCTCAGGACCTCAGACTGGGGCGAAGGTTCACCTTCCAACAGCACAACGATCCTAAGCACACAGCCAAGACAATGCAGGAATGGCTTCAGGACAAGTCTCTGAATGTCCTTGAGTGGCCCAGCCAGAGCCCGGACTTGAACCCAATCGGACACCTCTGGAGAGACCTGAAAATAGCTGTGCAGCAACGCTCCCCATCCAACCTGACAGAGCTTGAGAGGATCTGCAGAGAAGAATGGGAAAAACTACAGGTGTGCCATGCTTGTAGTGTCATACCCAAGAAGACTCGAGGCTGTAATTGTTGCCAAAGGTGCTTCAACAAAGTACTGAGTAAGGGTCTGAATACTTATGTAAATGTCATATTTTAAATGTCAAAAATGTAAATTAGCAAACATTTATAAAAACCTGTTTTTGCTTTGTCATTATGGGTTATTGTGTGTAGAATACTTTCCGAAGGCACTTTCCGTATGCTGCTATCCTACTTGAAATAAAAAATAATGTGAGGAAAAAAAAGAAATGGCCATGTTAGCTACCGCCACTGGCGACACCGTGATACAGCTGCCCAGTGGGAAGCACAGTACGGTAGGCACGTCGATACAACACCGGTGCACTAGTCATTCGCACCGGCTTATCCACTCGTTCTGTAGCCCAATCAGCCACGCAAAACGGTCTTCAGTGGCAACAAATGTGCCCAAAGAGCTGATTCGCTTTCCATACACCCACTCGCCCATACTCAGTTCGCCATATTGGGCTACCGATACTTGCAATAAGGCCAAGCTCTCCCCTCTCCCCTCACCTCCATCCCCCTCCTTCCCTTCTCCTCTTCAACCCAAATGTGTTTGCCCTCTTTTCTCAGGATAGAGAGGGAGAGAGAAATGAATAAGAAAAAGAGTGAAAGTCATTCCACGTGTTGGTCTAAGTAGCTGTCCGGAAATTCGTTTGGCTGGGAAGCTCAGCCCCTCTGGTGTGTGTTAGAGCCAATTTACTCTGATCATGGACTACCTGGAGAAGCCACATTTACAGACCTGATACCAGCAACAACACTGTGTGTGTGTGTGTGTGTGTGTGTGTGTGTGTGTGTGTGTGTGTGGTCATGTAAGGCAGAAGAAAAGCGTTGAAGTTTTTTCTCCAATTGGTGCTTGATCATTTTCCAGACATAATAGGTTGGAATTTCCCCCTGTCTGGTAACTCTTTCACATGCTACAGACATAACTCATTTTTAATTAACCGCATCCCGTCAGCTCCTGCAACATGTTTCTGGCCGGCAATGACATGCATGACAATGCTGCTTAATAGTGTCCCTTTATTTTTATTTAGACGCCCATTTCTCCCTCCCTGTCAATACATTTGTGTTCCCTCTTCTGGTAAAACACTATAGGGTCAAAGGTGATTTTATCTCAGAGTGCTGTTTCATGTCAAACCCTGGTAGCTGAATGTTGGGACAGCCATGGTTGGAGTAGTGCATTTTCTGAACCCGGTGTAGTATACACAGAAAAGGTCATTACTTTTCCCCTAAGATACACACACACATCTGTCTCTGATCAGCATGGTGTGTCCTGTTCTGTAGCAGGTGCTGTAGCCTGAATAAACAGGACTTTTAGATGTATTTTTGTCTAGAGGGAGGGAGGGAGGGAGGGAGGGAGGGAGGGAGGGAGGGAGGGAGGGAGAGATTCATTGAGGCCTGCCTGGCTGCTGCTTTTCTGTCTCTTGCGTTATTGATTGTAACCATATCTCACTGAAAGATTGCGGTCCCTATACACTGAGCAGTGCGAGACATGGGACTGCTCCAC